ATAGGGATGTCCAGGCAGTGCTGGCAAGGCTACCCTGGTCCAGAGTGGTCTATGTCCACCAGAGGAGGCCGTGTTGTCCGCCATCCCAGCAGCAACAGGCATGTCTGCAGATGACTCAGTTCAAAGCTGAATGAGCTGTGCCTAGACGTTTGCCCTTCCTATGGCACTTCAGCCTTCCTTCATACTTGGCACTTCTTGCCCTGGTCCTCCTTTGGTGTTTCTCAAACTGTACGAAGAATTCCAGGAGAACTGCCTAGGTGTCCATGTGACAGCTGTCCACCACCAGGGATTCTGATTCCAGAAGCCAGAGGTGAAGCCTAAAGACATTTTCAAAAGTTCAAACTATGTCGAGAATCACTTCCATGCTGCCTTTTTAGATGGTTTTTGCACATCCACAGCTCTAACCTTCCTTGGTTTTGTGGCTTTCCAGGTGACTTTCTAAGAGTGTATCTATTTATGTATTCATTCATTCATTCATTCATTCATTCATTCATTTATTTTTACAGAAGACATAGATGAAAACCTCCTGTTTTGAATTAAGATGTGAAAGAATCGAGACTTCCCCATCGGCTCCTTCTGCGTTAACCACTTCGGAATACATGCAGCCATGACACTGTAGATTCATATTTAGCAAAATGTTTGTTCGCATGTAAGAGAAGACAATGACAGTAACTGCTTGATGGTGATATACATATGTGCCAGGCTTTAACATTCCCTTAGGAAATAAACCTTTAAAATTAAGTAGACTCGATGTCTACAAAAGACTGTACTGTCTGGGAACACTTTAACTCATAATAATGCATCTAATTTTATAATTGATAATTATAAAACATGAAAAAATGTCTTTGTATTGTGACTAACACCTTATGCATGTTAAGGAAGTGAGATATTGCATTTTGTGGTTAATGTGCCTCATTTTCATTATCTTAATGTCTAATAAAGAGCCAATAAAGTATCAAATGCCTGCTCAAGTTTATTTCCAGTTATTTATTTAAAAAATTAAATGTAAAAGACCAACCCAGGGCTTACATTAGAGATCAAAATGGAATTGTGCTTGCTTACTGCTCAAAATAAAAAGTGCACTTAAAGATTGAGATGTGTTCTATAGTAAACAAATTGTAACAAGCTAATCTCCAGCATCCTTCATCATTATGTAAGTTTCAATGGAAGTGGGGAGGTTGAATTCAATTACTTTTTAGCCAAGTGCAGTTTAAAATGTGGGTGATTCCACATTGCTTTATCCAACCTATTCCAGCCTCTGTTCAGCAGCCCTTGTGTATCGGGGAGAAAGAGGTCTGAAAGATCTCTGTGTGTTTCATTTCTCAACATAAAGTGAAAGGGGCAGATGGTGAGTCATGGAGTGAGTGCCATGATGGCCAATGCTGTGAGAAATCAGCACTACTCCTGTGGCCTGATTGTGTCCCAGAAAATCTGTGTTTTCAGTTAGGCTTTTCTGCGATGCTAAAAATGGGGACATAAAAGTATAAAGGATACCACACAGTTTTCCAATGTCTGAAGTGAGGCACACAAAGTTTCTGGCATCCATTTTATTCCAATTTTATAGTATTTGAAAAAATGGGAGGTTATGTAATTTCCTGTTGAAATAGAAGCTATTGACATAATTATCTTCAATTGTTTTTTATCTTTTTTTTTTTT